GTTTTGAGCTGGTCCCCTCACTCCCAGGAGACTAATTTTGTAAGAGGAAAAAGACAAAACAACTAAAGACTGTAAAGTTTGTGTGCTTTACATTTGGCGCCCTGAACTATGTCCGGAGACAGCACCAGAGCCAGAGCTGTATTTTGAACATCCGACAGGGCAGCGGCCTGCTGTGTAGTTACTGCTACAGCCTGCTCGTAGGTGAACATGCTGATCTGGTTTGGACTAAATACCACCTGAAGAAAAATGACAAACAGAAAGAAAACGTAAAAAAACAAGGAAGTTGTTTAGGACAGAACCAGGTGCTGTTAAGCTAAACACAAGAAACAAGAGGACTGATTACAAACTGCTCTAAAATTCACATTATTTAGGCAGATGAAACATAATAAATTGAATCGAGTTGTTGTTTTGTTGACTTACAGCAAACTTGCCAGGTGGTATTATTGAAATAGCATTAGGTGAAATTCCTTTAATCTGCCCTTCCACCAGAGCTGACATGGCCATGTCTGGAAGACCAGCTGTGGAACAAACATTTCACAAAGATAAAACCAACTGTTAACAAAAATAAAATCAGACTCAACTACAAAAACCTTTGGTGATGTCCAAAGACTTTTAGCACAACACAGAATATTTTACAGTTCAATAATCTTCTCAATAATTAATAATGGATATCATCTTTAAGACACAGTACCTGCCAGGATTCCAATCTCAATGAAAACATCTGTGTTCCATGAACTCATGAGTCCAAAAACGAGGCTGTTGGTGAGCAGCTCAACAAGAGCCGTCATCTGCTCCTCGGAGCAGGCCAGCTTCAGCCGACCAAGCCAGAGGACTGCCTTACTGTGACCCCCAGAGGGAGACACAGCACAAGACAGMAAATAACAGTAAATAACAGCAAACAATGGATGGGAGAAGAAGCCTTTTCCACAGAGTCTGTGGTTATTTTGCTCACCTGAACTCTATATTATTAAACGACCTGATGTCTGTGGTCTTAGCTCCACAGATGATGTATCCCAGAGCCACCAGAGTGCTGGAGTCGAGCTGGCTCGGACTCTTCTTCATGGAGTTTAACACAGTGGTAAACAGTGTTGTCAGCTGGGATAACAAGAAGTTTAAACATCATTAAATAGAAACAATAAGCTACAGTAATTCTTGTGCAAACAGCAGCTAAATAAAGTCATATTTTACAGTTAATGGAGTGTTTATTTTGCTTATTAAATATTATAGAGTATATTAGGGTTATAGAAGAACAGGTTGTTTAAATATATACAGTATATCTGTATCTCACTAGAACAAAACAGAATTGACATTTCAAAAAAGCCTTATCCTGTAGTATTTTGCAACCCCATTTTAAAAAAGATATGTTGTGTAAAAGGTAAAGTACCGTAAGCCAAAATGCAATGATTTGAAAATCATATACATCCATATTTTCTTCACAATGGAACATGATCACTTAAACGTGCACTGTATTTATATAAAGCCAACTAGTCTATGCAATGCACTTTACAGCACAATCTGTGCCCTTATTTACCCATCCACACACATTCATACAGCCCTTTATCTCATGCAATAGACATTAATGCAGCCCCATATCATCAGAGAGGCAGGCCTTTGAACTGTAAATTAACTGGTCTTCTTTAATGCAGAGGATGCAGCATCTGTGGTTAAAACAACTTTGATTTGTCAAACCATCCATCCATCCATCCATCCATCCATCCATCCATCCATCCATCCATCCATCCATTTTCGTCTGCTCATCTGGGATCAGGTCACAGGGGCAGCAGCCTAAGCAGAGAGACCCAGACTTCCCTCTCCCCAGCCACTGGGGCCAGCTCCTCTCCCAGGCCAGCTGAGATACATTATCCCTCCAGCGTGTCAAGGGACTTCCTCCGGTTCTCCTCCCAGTGGGATGTGCCCAGAACACCTCACCAGGGAGGCATTCAGGGGACATCCTAGCCAGATGCCCGAGCCACCTCAACTGGCTCCTCTCGACGTGGAGGAGCAGCGGCTCTACACTGAGTCCCTCCCGGATGACTGAGCTTCTCACCCTATCCCTAAGGGAGAACCCAGACACCCTACGAAGGAAACTCATTTCAGCTGCTTGCATCTGCGATCTCATTCTTTTGGTCACTACCCAAAGCTCGTGGCCATAGATGAGCGTAGGAACATAGACCGACCGTTAAACCGAGAGCTTTGCCTTCTGGCTCAGCTCCCGCTTCACCACGACAGACCGGTACAGCGCCTGCATCACTGCAGATGCAGCACCAATCTGCCTATCGATCTCCTGCTCCATTCTTCCCTCATTTGAGAACAAGACCCCAAGATACTTAAACTCCTCCACTTAAGGCAGGACCTCTTATGGATCTGGTACCCCATACTCCTGGAGAACCCCCCACAGGAGTCTCCGAGGGACACAGTTGAACGCCTTCTCCAAGTCCACAAAGCACATGTAGACTGGTTGGGCGAACTTCCATGCACCCTGCAGGACCCTGCTGAGGGTGTAGGGCTGGCTCGCTGTTCCACGATCAGGACGAAAACCACACTGCTCTTCCTGAATCCGAGATTCGACTATCCGACGGACTCTCCAGGACCCCTGAATAGACCTTACCAGGGAGGCTCAGAAGTGTGATCCCTTTGTAAGACACTCTACGGTCCCCCTTTTTAAATAGGGGGACCACCACCCCAGTCTGCCAATCCAGGGGAACTGCCCCCGATGTCCACGCAAAATTGTAGAGTTGCATCAACCAACGCAATCCCAAAACAGCCAGAGCCTTAAGAAAGTCCAGGCGAATCTCGTCCACCCCCAGCGCCTTGCCACCAAGGAGCTTTTTAACCACCTCAGTGACCTCGGCACCAGAGATCAGAGAGTCCGACGCAGGGTCCTCAGGCTCTGCTTCCTCATGGGAAGATGTGTCGGTGGGATTGAGGAGGTCTTCAAAGTATTCGGCCCACTGACCCACAACGTCCCGAGTTGAGGTCAGCAGCGCACCATCCCCACCATAAACAGTGTTGGTGGTGAACCGCTTTCCTGCCCTGAGACGCCGGATGGTGGACCAGAATCACCTAGAAGCCATATGGAAGTCTTTTTCCATGGCCTCTCCGAACTCCTCCCACACCCGAGTTTATGCCTCAGCGACTACCTGATCCGCGTGGACTGCCAATTCCTATCGGATGCTTCCGGAGTCCTACAGGCCAAAAAGACGTGATAGGACTCCTCCTTCAGCCTGACAGCATCCCTCACTGCCAGTGTCCACCAGCGGGTTTGAGGATTGCCTCCTCGACAGGCATCGACAACCTTACAGCCATAGTAGAGGCATAGAACATAGCCCACTCTGACTCAATATCCCCCACCTCCCCTGGAACGTGTTCAAAGTTCTCCCAGAGGTGTAAGTTGAAGCTTGGTTGGAAGGGAGACTCTGCCAAATGTCCCCAGCAGACCCTAACTATACGTTTGGGTCTGCCAGGTCTGACTGGCATCCTCCCCCACCAGCGGAGCCAACTCACCACCAGGTAGTGGTCAGATGACAGCTCTGCCCCTCTCTTCACCCGATTGTTCAAGGCATGCAGCCACAGATCACATGAGACGACAACAAAGTCAATCATCAAATGGCCTAGGATGTCCTGGTGCTAAGAGTACATACTGTATGGACACCCTCTTTTTGAATGAACACAGAACATTTTTCCATTTTACCTCAGACCATTTATTGAGCTTTTGTCCAGATTTGAGAATTGTAGACAYTTGCATTCTGCTTTTGTTTGCATTTTACATAACATCTCAACTTTTTTAAAATTAGGGTTGTACCAACCATGGTAAAATTAGCTACCTGCATGCTGTTCCAGGTACTAACAACTCCCAAAGCACCAATGCTCCTTTGCTCTGTCAGTCGGAGAAGACTCAGCTCCTCTGCTGTCAACTCTTTCAATATTCCACCAAGCTGAGAGATTACAGACTGGGAGAAGTTGGAAACCGGGCCGTATATCTTCAGTGATTACCCAACAGATGACAAAACAAACAAATCATTTTAAATCATGAGTAAATCATGAGAAGGAAAACAAACTACAGTCTAGTTTTAAATTGAAGCCATGTGACAGGTGGCTAAAGGTACACCTCCTGGGTAGAGTTTGTTCCAAACTAACCCAACCTTTTTGACTTTCTTCAGAACCTCACTGCTTTGGTAGGAGGCCAGGTAAGGGTCTTGACCCATCAGCTCCAGACAGTTGGAGAAGGCAGACGTGGACATGCTGCTCAGGCTGTTAGAAGGCCAGGCAGATGGAGCCGTGGTGCGCAGAATCTCACAGGTAGGAACCATAGGAGTCGCTGGGAGAGGACGTACACAGAGAAAAGGGCTTCAGGACATGATAGGACTCAAAGAAGTCATGAATAACTGTGTCCCTTCTCATCGTACAATAGTTTAAAACTTAACCACAAGTGTTCCTTTAAGAAATGTTTATATCTTTCATTTATTCATACAAAAAATAAGGTCAAATCAGTTGATATGTTTCAGAAGTAGCTAGCCTGTTCATCTCATTCATCACTTACCAAATAAGATTTTTTTAAATAGCCACMATCGAAATAATTGGTTGTTTTAAGGATTTTCTAACAAATGACATACGTTCTCCAATGCCATATTTCTTCATAAAGAAAAATACAGTTTCAAAGYTTACAAGAGTGATGCTCACGTGACGAAAGAGTTAATTTGAGGAATCCCAGGAAATACTGCAGAACAAACTGCTGTTTGTTAAAAACTGTCGTCCTGTCATTTGTGTTTGAGCAGAGGACCCCCACATCTCCATGTTCCCACCTGTGCTGGCTCAGGAACAGCTTCTCAATACGCCCCACTGTCATCAGTGGCTGCATCAACACAAGCAGAAACACACACATGTGCCTGGCTGACAGGAAAACGGTCACAACCTGATCCTAAAACCGACACCTTGTTGATTTATTTACAGCCTTTGTTGGCCTAACCTGCCCTCAGATCCAYTCACAAAACCCCACTGTGGATTTATTTATGTTGTTAAAAAAACTGTCACAAGGACAAGCTTTACTTTTATGTTAATACTAAAACTAGATTATCCAATTTAAAGAAAAATCATGATTTTAAAAAGCAAACTAATAATATATATTAGTACACTCACCTGAGAAATATCTTGCAGTGTGTCAACAGACAGGAAGAAAATAAACCGTCCCAGCAGACTGAGAGTTGTTTCGTTCCAACTCGTTACTGGGCTGTGAGCAAAAACATGTACTTTTTAATTTTTGTTGTTTTCAGTTCATAAATTAAGATTTTATTTTTATTTTTAAAAAATTAATCTAAATACATGTTTTGTATTCTCTCATGAAACACATTCTTGTATTTGTTACAAGTTTGGCTGTATTTTCTCAGAAAAAATGAAAACTAGCATTTTTTAGCTGTTTATTGTAGAAAATTATAAAACATAATCATGTAAAGCATGCAAAGTTTATATGAATGTTAAAATAAATGTTTGCGAGCAAAGGGTATTAGGGTTTAGCTTAATACAATTTAATAATTTTGTACGTTTAATTGTTTTCTCTTATGTTATGCTACTGTTTGCCATCAACATTTTCTCTGCTGTTATTGTCATGACATCTACTGTATTTGGCTAAACCTGTTTTTGTTTTATTTTTTTAGAAATTCTTGACTGAATGAAGAATTTTCTTCTCTGATGAGTCTTTGATGGTTTTACCCAAAAACTCCAGGCTCGATCAGGATACGAGAGACGATTTCCATCTTGTTGCTGCTGTAGCASAGCCCCTTCAGGAGATTCAGATTCTGAACAAAGAAGCTTCGGTCCACCTGAAAAAAAACTTCATCCGCCACAAAGGAAGCCATGATGCCCAACGATCGAAACTCAGCCTCGGTAAACGTCCCTGAGCGCATGCCCTGCCGACAAACARGACCCACTGATTATATAGACAATACAAAAATAACTAAAAACCAACCAGTTATACAGATAACGAGCTTAACGTTGTTCAATTATTCTCAACTGTTCAAGGGCTTTTTGTGAGATCTCACGTGACTTTATTTATCACTTTTTTCTTCAAGGAATGCTGGGCCTTTAGATCAGGGGTGGGCAATCCTSGTCCTGGAGGGCCGCKGRRCTGCATGTTTTACTTGTTTCTCTGCTCAAACACACCTGATTTGAATGAATAMATGATTATCAGGRTTCTGCAGTACGGAGGACCAAAACTGACATAATTAGAAATAAAAGCAGAATTATATAAATGAATTATTAAATAAATACACTTAAAGGCACCAATTAAAGAACTTTATCTCCTGTTTTATATTTTAATTGACTTTCATATTTATTTTTCCAGGTTAGTCTCAATAAATTAGTCTATATATTTGAACACATAATTTAAATGTTACAGTTTTTTACATATATATTAAGTGTTTTTCCTTTACTTGTACATGCATTTGTGTGTCTTAAATGTTTATACTTAATTATGTTTACATTTTCTCCATTAAGTCTTTTTATTTCAATGCATGCTTGTGGTGCCTAAATTTAGCTTAAAGTTTAAAGTTTAGTTTAAAACAAAGGCAAAGAGGATTACCTCTGCCTTTATTTAAAAAAATATATATATAAATAATTAAATTCAAGCATTTAAGAGACACAAATGCATGTACAAAAAAGGAAAAACTATATAAAAATATATTTAAAAATATAAAAAATTAAATTATGTGTAAAATATACAATTTATTGGAACTAAGCTGGAAAAATAAATATGAAGGTAAATTAAATTATAAAACTTCAGGTAAACTTATTTTTAATTTATTTGGTGCATTTTAAATGTATTTGTTTATTTAGTGGTTCATTTATATGTTTCTGCTTTTATTTCTAATTATGTCAGTGTCGGTCCTCCATACAGCAGAACTTGGAAGAGGTAATTCAGTGACTGAATCAGGTGTTTTGGAGCAGGGAAACATGTAAAACATGCAGGACTGCGGCCCTCGAGGACCAGGATTGCCCACCCCTGCTTTAGATGCTTTAAAGAACAGATTTTCTTACCAATTTTTGAGTAATTTTGTCCACCAGAAGTTCCTGTTTGGTTCTAAACAGCATGAGAAAGTGACGAGGTTCCTCAATGATCATTTTCCTCAGAGTGTCCACCTGGTCTACAGTAAACAACCTAACAGTACTCACTCTGTAATCAAAATGTCAAAACACAAAAGTTTAATTTCAACACTCCATAATATTCTGACTTGCTCAGAAAACTCTGCTAAAAGCAACTATTTTTTAATGTTTAGGGATYTTTCACTAAAGGTTTTTGACAAACAAGTACAATAAAATGAGTATTTGATTGMTTACAAGTCATTCCAATGGAACCAGTTGTTGGACTTACGGAATTGCCAAAGCTATTTCACCTCCAAGATCTTGAAGCAGYTCAGAGAAAAACGTCAACTTAAGCAGCGCATCGATCACGCACCTTTTCTGTCCGGAAACAAATTAAAAGAAAAGAAAAGAAAGAATGTTACTAACAATAAATATATACTTAGCACAAAAATAAAAAGAAAATGTGTTTGATAGATGATTTCTATATGTCGTAGCAATGTTTCTTGGCAATAAATCTTATACCACTGGAAAGCCTGTTAATTTTCTTTTTAAATGGTGCCACATTTGTAAGGAACATGCATTTGTGGGATTAGCAGTAGGGCTGTGTATGTGGGTTGCGCACATGAAAACGTTGTTAAATCTTGTGTTTGGTTTAAGATTTATTGCCAAGAAYAATTGTTACAACAAAGAAAAATTCTACCAAACACTAATCTCCTTTTGTGCTAAATTTAGATACACACTATAATAAACATGCATTATAGAAAAAAGAAAAAAAGTCTCATAAGCAGTGGGTTTCAGATTACCAGAGAGGTGTGAAGAAGACGAGGCTGCTGCCTGAGGAAGGCTAAGATTTTTCTAATAGAGGGCGGTGTCGGATTAGCCTGAAAACGACTCTGTAGAACCTCACAGRTCACACCCTGACCCAGTGTTCCCACACTCCTGAACACACAAAGGTTAGTTTCACTGGATGACCACAGTTAACACTGGAGCAGAAAGACCAACACTGTTTTTATTCTTCGGGTAGAAACTACAGTACTTATGTGGCGTTCACATCAACAGGACCTGAGGCTTTTAAAAAACAATCAGAAACCTGTGGAAAACAGTTGAGTCAGGCAGGAAAATCCATAAAATATAAATCATACTTACAAAAAATCCTGCTTGATTAGATTTGGATTAGTATTAAACAGATCGGTGAAAATTGCTTGAGCCTGCGGGACAAAATAAAAACAAAAAGTTGTATTACATGGACGTGACGTGCTCGCCGCCCGAGCTGCTTCTTCCTCCAGTTTCCACGACGACGAGGCACGGAACAGATCAAGTACGCATCCATTCACGGTATCAGCGGCGACCACGTCTTTGTTTTTTGCTTCACTGCTCAATAATTCAGCAGCCGGGCCGAGACGCGGTCATACAAACTGTCTCCCAAACAGAGACAGGAAGTACCGAGACATCGAAAGAAAAGTGTGAATAACAGCCGTTGCCGATGTGCGATACCTGCTGTGTGTTCCAGGGCTCTGCGGACGTGTTGGAGAGGATTTGTAAAAGCGGTCGACTTCTGGGCAGGACGCTGAGGAGGGGCGTGCAACTCAGCAAAGGCTTCACGTCGCTCAACCAGTTAACAACCTCTGAGAAGCCCTGGTTTAAACAGAAAATACAACACAAGATAAAACACCGTGTTTCATCCAGTTATCTTTAATGTTAAGTTCTAACAGCTTTGATGTTATTAAAAATCTCCTATTGCTGAGCTGCAGTTGTACCCATAGTTTGGTGGCGACAGCGTTTGCTTCTGGTGGACAGAGGCCACACTGCTGGGTTTGTTTGCTTTGGGCCAGGGTTTTGAGGACAGCCAGCAGCTGGTCAGAGGACAAGCTCAGTAAGGTCTCTGACCTCACCCCCACAACCAGGGAGCCGAGCTGCTGCAGCAGGCTTGGAGTCAGCTGATCAGACAGAAGGAAGATGTGAGGCACAAGGCATGAAAATCAGAAAACATATCAGGCTGTGAAGCAGTTACATTAGAGAGGAACTCACTGCTGTGTTAACTGAGAACAGCTTGTCCACAATTATGGAGGCCTGAAAAACACAACAGAAACAAAACACTCTTAATATGTTGCTTAATGTATTATGTTAAATACTCTTCAAATCTAAGATCACGGTAACAATAATCAATATTAAAATGACATACAGTAATATCATTTAAGTGACAGTTTTGTTATTTAAAGCATTTTCCTTCAATACGTTTTGTTTCTTGAAATCTTTTAATGTTTCACAATTGAAGGTTATCAGAATCCTACACTTTTTCGTGCCGGGTCATAGGCAGTAGAGGCAAATGCTAAGGGCCGTCCATTTAGGGAGGTGCCACAAATGGGGGACGGAAAAAAACATTTTATAACTTTTTCTCAGAATATAGTTGATTTAGTCAGTAGAATAATCACTGGTTACTCAGGTTTATGAAGGGAACTTGTCCTGTGAGTTTCTCAGCTGCTTTATTACTACATGAGGTGTTATATGGTGCAGAGGGGTTTTTTTGTGTGATAAAAGTCTCGTTGGATGCAGTCAAGAGTAACTACTGGTGCTCAGTGTGTAAATAGAAAACAAAATAAGGATAATGGAAGTTTCACTTCTGATCTCAGATAAAGTTCATGTCAAAGTCTGGTTTTTAATGTTCTACCTTCATAAAATACTGATTTTATGTTGTTTTAATAATCCCAAGAATTTAGTAAAATGCTCTTCAAATTAGGGATGCACCTATATGAAAAAGAAAAGAAAATAAAAGAAGAAGATATTGATATCCAATATTAATATTG